GCAGCTCCGGCCACGGATGCTCCTGCCCGTCCCTGTCCCTCCCACCCATGGGCGAGCTCCGGCTTCACGGACACGTGGGCTGGTGGGGGACAGGCAACACCGTACCACGGCCACTGCGCCAGCAGCGCATCTCTGACATGCCTTTCCTGGAGCCGTAGCACCCACGAACCCTGCTCGGTCCCTGTACCTGAAACACATGCACGCTCACCACCCGGGTTGCCCCGGTTGCTGTGGGTAAGTGGGGAATCCTGGGTGCTCTGTACAGCCTGAGTCCCCCTTGGTCCCCCCCGGGCTGCTCCACTGTCCCCCACTGCCCCCCGCCAGCCCAGGGGAGCTGCTGGCAGTGTCTGCACGGTGGCCGGTGCCTGTGCCCAGTGCCAGGCAGGGACCGGGGCTGCAGCCGTCCCCTTCCAGGGCAGCAGCGGAGCCTCTCCTCAGCCACGGGCTGCCAGGACGAGCAGCACAATCGTGTATGCTACATTGCCACTGAAAGGCCGGCTAGAAGGTATGTCTCGAAAGAAAAACTTTCAGAATATTAAGGAATTAGGAAATATGTAAGAAACATGTTTCTTTTAAAAAAAACATTTTTCATGGGAATCTTTATAGTTCAGCCTACATTGGTTTAACTGATTTCTACCATGTAACCTTTAGTGAGTAAGGAAACCTTCATCTTACACTAATAGATAAGCTACGTCATACGACCGCAGAGCGAGATATGACTGTTTCCACTGTAAAAATCGCTGTAGAAGGTCATCTGCTTCCCCTGCCGTCGATATTTTATTCTCCTCTGTCCACAGCTCCAGGGAGGACAGCACAATGGTAACATTAACAGGATTAAACATCTGAAAGTGTAACAGAGGAAACGCCTGCTCACATACCTTTCCTCTGAGCAGAATTACAGCTCAATACATAATAAATCACGTAGGAAAAGCCAATTGCTGTTGTCAGTCACTGAATGACATCTGTACAACAAACAGAACGAACAAACCTAAAAAATAAAAAGATATACCAAGAGGCATGAGAACAAAGCTTAATAACTTCATAGGAAGGTTTTAGGGTTTTTTTTGTGAGTAACTTCTCATTATACACATGAATCATAACAGCACCTGTAGAGTGAAGAACAGGATTAGGAGTTGCTTATAAGCACCTGAGTGGAAACAGATTAATCGTATGGCTGATCATCGAGACAGGATCTGCAGCACAGAGAGGGGAACAATCTAGGAAGCCTCAAAACATTGGACTTTGGCTGCCTTAAGGCAAACTGCCTGCATTTTTGTACATCTGCATGAGACGTTGCCACCGCATATAGAAGGATGTTTGTAGCAGATTGACGTGTCCAGAGAAAAGCTCCTCGGGAAACACTTTACAGGCTATAGATGCCAGACAGCTTACTGCACGCTCCTGGTGCGGTTGCACTGCGAAATGGAAACGGGGGGGCAGTGGCCAGGTCCCGCGAATTCCTACTCCATTCTGCTAAACAGAACTTTCCTCGATTCCCACTTGTCGCAGTTCAAGACTCACCCCAGGCAGCTAACCGTAACTCTAGCACGGACCATGCCGCTAGTGCCGTTACAGCTTTAAGAGAGCATATTTTCACCGTTGCTAAGCCAAACCTTTTTATTAGCTCACCGGGACTAAACCCCTCGCCCACCTCTGATCAAGTCTGGACCAGGCTGCCAAGAAGCTAGGAGCTCCTGCCAGGCCATGCCCAGCCATCACAGCCAGAACGTCGCGAGACAAGACCTGGAATTTTTTACATAAGCTCCTCCTAAAACCAAAAGCAGCTGGGAAATAGGTGGCCATTACTAACATCAAACCCCTCCATCATCTTACTACAATACAAACCAGACCTTAAAACTTACATTGTTGACCAAATTGAAGACCTGGATTATCTTCTGCGTTGCAGCATTCGTGTCTGAACCCATATAGTTGTACTGAAAAATAACCCAAGAGGACGCAAGAGCAGACAAGGCATTTACCACAATGAAGCAGAACAATGTTGAAACACTGACATGTTGCCAACATCCAATCATGTAAACGTGAGCTACGAATTTTCATTCTTTCTTTCCTACAAAATCCACAGTACACGTAACTTTTCAAAAGGGAAAACAAATACATATAAAAGCTGGGAAATGGCACCATTTCTATGCTCATAAGAAGTCAGGCAAACACAAGGAGTAAATGACTGGCACGGACTTACCAAAGCCTTGTCCAAAACTACGTACACTTTAAAGTATTTGGGAGATCGTGCTGCAGCTGGTAGTGGCTGAAAAAGAAAATGGTCTCCAATGCTATATATATTTCTACATTCTATAGTCACCTTATTCCCGAGGTTTGCTACACTACTCAAGTGTCCATTCAAAAGCAATGCTTCGATGCTGTCTTCAAATTAGCATAAGGTAAGAAGCCATTCCAACTTAGCCATTTCCGACTTTTTTCAGAAGCCTTTCTACCTTGGTGATGCCTCTCATTAGGCACTAGATGAGTAACGATCCACACGACACCCTGTCACAAGCACTGGCACTCATAACCTACCCCCCCCATGCAGCCGCATCGGGGAGGCTGCCCCAGCCGCCTTCGAGTGAGGCTGCAGGGGCATCCCTGGGCTCCCCCACGGCAAAGGCCCGGCAGCGCCTGTGAGCACTAACGGGCACGGCGGCGCGGGGAGGTGGCGGTTCGTTACCTGAGCCCCGAGCAGGTGCTGAGGGTCACTGCCGAGCTGGGAAAGCCATCGATGTACCCCCGGTAGTAGCAGCCTCCCTACATCACGACAGAGGACAAGGAGCCCCTTCCGTGCCGTGAAGGTGCCCCAACCGCCTTCGAGTGAGGCTGCAGGGGCATCCCTGGGCTCCCCCACGGCAAAGGCCCGTCAGCGCCTGTGAGCACTAACGGGCACGGCGGCGCGGGGAGGTGGCGGTTCGTTACCTGAGCCCCGAGCAGGTGCTGAGGGTCACTGCCGAGCTGGGAAAGCCATCGATGTACCCCCGGTAGTAGCAGCCTCCCTACATCACGACAGAGGACAAGGAGCCCCTTCCGTGGCCGTGAAGGCAACTCCCTTACCTGTCACCCAAACAGCTGAACCGCACATACCGGACAGCAGCTCTACGCTGCAACGCTTACAGTACAAAAACCCCAAAGCAATCTAAGGTTACCTTGATATGGGTTGAATCAGAGCGCAAAGATCCCTTCTCATTAGACACGTAAATCCTGAAATCATCAGATAAAAACACACTACAAAAGAAAGGTGTAAAGCAAAGCACTTAAAATAGTATCTCTTACCCAGTTTCTTGAGCTTATTTTCCAGGTCCTGCAGCCTGCGCTGTTGCACTGGCAGATCCAGAACCCGCTGGCACCAGGGCTCACGGGCACAAACATCCCTCAAACCCTCCTCCAGCCCTCTGCCGCCCCTCGGCACTCGGGCACGTGGCACACACGCACACGTCCCCTGCGGGCTTTGGGAGTGCCTGCAGCAGGGCACGATCCCGGCAGCTGCAGAGGCTGGAAACAGCCCGAGGGAGCAGCGCCAGCGTGAACCCCCACAGGCGGGAATCGCCCCGCAGCCTGGCACCATCCCGTGCCGGGGACAGAGCACACAGCCCAGCAGCCGCCGGGGAACGGGACAGCAGCGGTCAGACGAGGCAACGCCAGGGCCAACTTACTGCTGCTGCAGGTGAAGGGTGTACGGCCTCCCCTCTATCGTGAGGACGTAGGACACTGCGTCCTTGTGCGTGCAGAAAAGCAGAGAAAGCGAGAATTAGGAACACCGACTTCGGAAAAGCATGCTCCGAGGGCAACGACAAACACCGAGGGCAAGCACAAGAGCTCGGTGCTTCCCCAAGGAGCAGGCACAGCCTTTGCTGTGCTGGCAGCACCGGTGCGGTG